TAGCTTACTAATGCCTAGGGTATCAATCTCTATGTGTTCCATTTTCTTTTTAAGTTTTTATTGTGAATTGAGTGAAAGTTTACAGAGCAGACCATCAGTTTTATATTCAACAAATCATACACTTTGTTTCATTACAATGATTATAATACCCTCCATGTACTATCAGTTAACAGTATTTCTCTCTATTCTTTTTAGTTTTCTCTCTTTTTTTTTTTAAACACTTAGGCATACACACCACCAAAGGGCATATTCTGCAAGTCTGCCTCCTAGCTGCCAGCTCTCAGTCCCTGTCTTTCCGTGAATCTAGAGTCCTCAGTTGCTCCTTCTCTCCATGTCCCCATCTCTGCCTCCATCTCTGGTGTCACTACTTCTCTGGATAAGGTCCTGCATTCCACTTGTTCTCTTCTCCCTTGATGGTCCTAGGGTCCTCTGTTTCTGCACTGTAAGATTAACTACTCCCTTGTTTTTGTTACAAAACTTTTGCCTCTACAATTGTGATGGTCGCAATTAGTCATGATAACAATTACTCACTGTTGAATTATAAGAATCTTATTCCCTTCTTTTTATACCAGACCCATCTAGACAAGATGAAAACTATTCAGTGGGTACTCTGTCTTCCCCCCACACTCTTAAACTAAACTCCCTCTTGAAACTTTGTAAGCCAGTCACTTGGTGCCTTTAATGCCCCCTCATTTTAGGTAGTTATGTCTAAGTTGCCCGTCCCTATTACCCTGCATACAGAGGGGGATAGCACTGATTCTTGATGTGAAGACTCCTTCCCTCTCTGTTGGTATTTGAGCTACTGCCTCCATGAATATAGGTCAAGTTCATCAAATTGTAGCAATTTACCCTCATTTCTTTTATCAAAAATTGTTGTCTTTTTTATCTTCCTCTAGTCCAGTTTTGGTGTGGCACTGCGGGTTAGTGCGCCAGACTGCAAAGCCGTTTAAACTTAAAGGTTGGTGGTTCAAACTCACCAGCTGCTCCTCGGAAACCCTATATAGGGTCGCTATGGGTCGGAACCGACTGTATGGCACTTAACAACAACATCAACAAGTCCAGTTCTGATTATCAAGCCATCGAGGCTAGGTCAGATGGGTACTATCTGCAAGTTTCGGTGTTCTTGTGTGTCTCCCCTCACTTCATATCAGCTGGATGCTTCACTCTCATCTATAGCCCTCTGTGACAATGTCCTTGTCCATGGGCTCTCAAGTGTCCCCAGGTCTCACCACACTTTGGAACAACCAGTCCTTCCTCTTCTCTCTCTCATATCCAGGTCAATGGGAATCTATAGAATGTGGTTGAACTCAGCCCATTTCTTCATTGCTTCCTTTCCCCCTCTTCCACTCACCAGTAGACCAGTGTGGCTGCTAGCAAGCTTATATACCTGCTCATGTGTTCCCTTTGAATTCAGTCTTAGAGGGGGGCTTGTCCTGAAGGGACTTGATTGCTTGCCTTGATGGCTTTCTTCCATTTCATTTTTAATAACTTCCAATTTTCCTATATTCATATTTTGTACATTCCGTGTTCTGATTCTTACTAGATGTTTGTAGCTGTTTCTCCTCATTTTGAGTTGTGAACCATCAGTAAATGAAGGTCTTGAAAGCTTGCTCTATTCACGTCACAGTGGTCAACTCTATTTTGAGGAGGCAGCTCTTTCTCAATCATATTTTGAGTGCTTTCCAACCTGAGAGACTTATCTTCCAACACTATATCTGACAGTGATCTGCTATTCATAATGTTGTCATTTTGTAGCACTGTATTGGACAGTGTTCCATTGTTATTCATAAGTTTTTCAGTGACTAAGCATTCAGAAATATCCCGCATCTCCTTTTTCATAGTCTGTCTTAGTCTGGAAGTTCTGCTGAAACTTGTCCACTATTGGTGACCCTTCTGATATTTAGAGTACTGGTGGCAACACTTCCATCATCAAGGCAACATGAAAGCCACCACAGGACAACAAACACACGTGTTGCTGCTATTCCCTTAGAAACAACCATTATTAATACTTTGGTGTATATTATTCCAAGCCCTTCTTCTGTTCATTAATTCATTTAACAAATATTTATTGATGACCAAGATGGCATCAGGCACTGTTTTAGATAATTGGGAATATCGTTGTTGCTGTTCAATGCCGTTGAATCGGCCCGTGTAGGGTTTCCAAGGAGCGACTAGTGAGTTTGAACCACTAACCTTGCAGTCCGGTGCTTATCCTATAGTGTCACACCGGGACTTCATTGGGAATATAGCAGAGAGCAATACAGGCAAAAGTCCTTGTTCTCGTGAATTAGGAGAAAACAGATAGTAAACAAATGTGTGTTATGTAATAATGTTAACTGCCATTGAATTTGTTCTGGCTCATGGTGACCCTGTGTAAGGTTTTCTTTACAGGACCAGAAAGCTTCCTTTTTCTACTGTGGAGCATCTGGTGGATTCAAACTGGTGACCTAGCAGTTAGCACCTCAACAAGTAACCTATTATACCACCAGTGGTTAGGAATGGTCTTTTGGATAAGGTGACATTTGTAATTTTATACGTATTTGCATATGCTTATTATTACTCATGTATATTTTATTACTTTCTCATTACGGAGTCCTAGTGTGGGGTAATGTAGGATAAGCACTCGACCACAAGGTCAGTTTGAACCTAAAGGTCAGTGGTTCAAACTCATCAACTGCTCCTCGGAAACCCTTTATAGGATTGCTATGGGTTGAAACCAACACGACAGCATTTAACAACAAAAACAATTTCTCATTATATTATGACCATCTTTCCATGTCAGTGAACAGACTTCTATTATTATCAATTTTAACACCCTTACTGTGTTTTTATTGTTGTATGTATACCAAAACTTACTTAAACCAGTCACCAGTTGGTTAACATAATAAATTCCTATGCTGAATGCCAAGAGTGGAATTGCTGGATATAGAATTTTAAGGTAGGAGCCCTGGTGGTGTAATGGGTTTTACATTGGTCTACTTGGCTCAAGGTCAGCAGTTTGAAACCACCAGCCATTCCACAGGAGAAGGAATAGGCTTTCTGCTCCCATAAAAATTTGGAGCCTCCGAAACGCTATGTAAAATCACTGTGAGTCAGAATCAATTTGATGGTAATGGATCTGGTTTGGTTTAATATGTAATCTTGGGTTATCCTCCAGAAAGATGGTGACTGGTAATATTCCCACTGTTTCTCTGCCTAGTGGATATGATCTTTTCAGTGCCTGTGAATGGAACTGTAGAAGTTAATGATTATGTTTGCTGTCCTAATTGTTTCTCTTTCTCCATCCTGTGTTCTCTTCCCTCTTAGCCAGTTATCCAGGTACCCATTTCCTTCATTTTGTGTACTACAGAACCCCATTCATATTTACCCAATCTGTATTCCAGAATTTTTATCTTTTTTTCTGTGCCTTACTGACATTAGCCCAGATTCTTACTTCTGAGGTGCCTTTTCCCCAGCTCTCTAACTTATAGTAAAGCATTTATTATATTTGATAGCAATGTTAGAAGGTTCCTGTGTTTTTAAAGAGGATTCATATTAATTGAAGGAATCCTGGTGTGGCGCTGTGGATTAATGTGCTAGACTGCAAGGTCGGTGTGAACTGCAAGGTCAGCAGTTCAAGCTCACTAACCACTCCTCAGAAACCCCATACATTGTTGCTATGAGTTGGAACTGACTAGATGGCACTTTAAAACAGCATATTAACTCAAAGATGTTAAATACTGATGATGGTATTTTAGGCAGTTAGAAATATTTTATCCAGACTCCTTAAAGTTATTCCACATAGAAGATTTTCTACTTTATCTTTACTCTATCCTGCTCTGCTTTCCTATTTTCTATACTACGATGCATCAGTGATAAGGGAACTCACTATTGTCTATTTTCTGCGTTTACGTTTCTTAACTTATCAGTTATTTTTCTCCTTTTGGTTTTTCTCTCCTCCCTAGTTGTCATTATGCTTTAAAATTTGAATTTATGTAGTTGTATAGGAAACACATTTGCCATCTGGCAAGGTTATAGAGTAAAAAGCTCTGGTAGCGGAATCGTTAAGGATCGGGTTGCTCAAGGTTGGCAGTTTGAAACTACCAGCTTTTCCATGGGTAAAAGATGAAGCTTTCTGCTCCCGTAAAGATTTGTAGCCTCGGAAACCTTGTGCAGGGTCACTGTGGGTCAGAACCGACTCCATGGTACTTAACAACAATAACAACCCATCCCTATTCTACCCATTCCTGTCTCCATTGTTGTTAAGTGCTGTCGAGTTGATTCATACCCATAGCAAACCCTGTACAGGGTTTCCGAGGCTGTAAATCTTAACAGGAACAGAAGGCTTCATCTTTCTCCCGTGGAACAGCTGGTGGTTTCAAACTGCTGACCTTAAGGTTCGCACCTGATATATAACCACTACACTACCAGAGCTCCTTTATAGTACTTAACTGAGTTGCTGACTCAGTGACCTTTACCACATTATTGTTAAGTGCCGATAAATAGATAAATACGCTTCAACCCATAGTGACCCAATATAGGGTTTCCGAGGAGCGACTGGTGAGCTTGAACTGCTGCCCTTGCTAGCTGCAAGGTCAGCAATTCAAATCCACCAGCTGCTCCTTAGAAACCCTATACAGCGTGGATATGAGTTGTAACTGACTCCTTGGCACTTAACAACGTTGTGGTAAAGGTCACTGAGTCAGAATCAACTCAGTGGCAGTGGTTTTTATTACTGTACTTGGATCCCTGAAGTTCAGTGGTTAAGTGATCAGCTACTACCTAAAAGGTTAGCGGTTGCACCCACTAGCTACTCCATGGGAGAAAAATGCAGCAGTCTGCATTTGTAAAGATTTGCAGCCCTGGAAACTCTAGGGCACAGTTCTACCCTAAACTCCAGGGTCCTCTGTGAATTCGAATTCACATGTTGACAGTTGCCTTTTTTGTGGTGTGCTTTTTTTCTGAAAGACTACAGATATAGACACTTTGAACTCCTTCAAGTGCAAGTTTTTCCCCTCTAGGAATCAAAAGTAAACAATGAGAAGTCTTGTGCTAAGAGCCCCAAGCCTGCTGAGAGCCCCCAACCAACTGCTAAGCAGTCTGATCAGCCCACTACTACTTATGAGTATTATGATGCTGGAAATCACTGGTGCAAAGACTGCAATACCATTTGTGGGACCATGTTTGACTTCTTCACCCATATGCACAATAAGAAGCATGCACAGGTAGGTGTCCTGCCCTCTGTTATTTCCACTCTCCTCCTCCTTACCCTGAAACTTCTATACCCTCATCTACATAACAAAGCTGGAAAAGGAAACATCCTCTTGTGGGTAGGAGCCCCAATCTGAAGAGCCAAGAGATATCAACAAAGGAGATACCATCCCCCAGGGCTCTGCCCAGGGGACCTGACTTGTAGCTAAACACACCATGACAAGTGTAAGTGAGGTTTTTGCCTCTTTTGATTCCTTGAAAATCTGATTTTTGTTTCATTTTATTCATTGCTAGTACTTGCTCTAATATATGTTTACCTTTTCCACAGGTGATTTCCGTTTAAACAGTTGGCAGAGGGGGGATGAGGGTGGGTAACTGAGTCTTGTGATCTCCTGGTCTTATGTGAGGGAAAAAGAAAAGTGGGTTATTGAGGTTTTAGTGCTGTTGTGTGAGCGCCTCTGCCTCTTGCAAATAGACCCTGGATCCCTACAACAGACCTTGGGCTTCAAAGACCCAGAGTGAGGCCAAGCAAGATGCTGTAAAGCGCACTGACAAGATAACTGTTCCTGCAAAAGGTATGTTTCCTCCCAGCTTCCTTTGTAGCTTTCTTAACCAAGAAAGAGGCATCCTTGAACTAAGTTATTAGAAAGCAGCAGAAAGTGTGCCGTAGCCATTTTTTTCAAACAAAGCTATGAAAATGCATTTTGCGTACAAGTAATCTACTGTAGGTCCTGAATAAATAGACAAGACAGTAAACCAGACAAGAATAATCTATATCCATAAGACCAAAAATCTATTAATATATAAACACACCACTCTAAAATGTAACAGAATAACTGTCTTTACTCTTGGTTTATTTGAAATCCAGATTTCAAAACAAGGACAGTAATTTATTTTAGCTACCTTTTCAACTAAGAAGTAGAAAGCTCTTTTGCCTTTAAAGTCCCCAATTTCATATCTCCATAAAGTAGTCCATGCTGCTACATCCTTCAGATCTAGACAGGATAAATTCCTGACTAATTAATACCAACTTGAGAGATTCTTTACAAATGCTTCTGGGCTAAATGTCTTGGGAGTAGTTTTCAAACTGTTTAAGATGCTTAGTGTTTGTTGGAGTTTGAGGGTAATCAACAACAGAAATGGGTTTGACAGAAAAGACTGCTGAATCAATTACTCTTCCCAAAAGTTGAGGGGACAGAGGTTCAGAGTTCTGACATTAGTTTGGAAAGAATGTATCATTAAGATTCATTCATCTAAATGCTACTATTGATTCCAAAGTGGGTACAATCCTGTCTTCCATACTATTTTAATGCAGAGAGAGTTGGGATTTCCTTTGGTAGTTGTGAATCTGAGTGGAAATAACTTATTTCCTTGACTCTCTTCTGCTACTTCCAGGCTCTGAGTTCCTGATTCCCATCACTGGATATTACTGTCAGCTTTGTGAGGAATTTTTTGGAGATCCAGTTTCTGGAGAGCAACATGTGAAAGGTCACCAACACAATGAGAAATATAAGGTTCGTCTTTGTAGCAGCCTATGGAGTTTCCCACTTTTTGCAGCAGTTCTTTTGACTTGTCAAACAGCATTTTCAGAGCCAGAAAAAAATCACTGACATTTCTTCCATGTAATCATTAGGAAGACCTCCACAATCTTAAGAGTGAAAGCTGCTAAGTTAATGGACTTCTAATGCCCCTGAGGAAGATGATTTTAGGGATTTTCCATTAGATGAATTCTGATAGTGGTGGGGTCAAGATATTTTTTTCCTTTGTAGTATTTTGACCAATTGTTGAGCCTTTACCTTTTCTCTTCCCAGAAATATGTGGATGAAAACCCATTATATGAAGAGCGGCGGAATCTGGACCGTCAAGCTGGCTTGGCTGTGGTCCTAGAGACAGAACGGCGACGACAGAGTGAGCTTAAGCGCAAACTTAGTGAGAAACCCAAGGAGGAAAAGAAAGAAAAAAAGGCAAAAGTCATGACAGAAGTAAAGGAGGATGACAAGGTCTCTCCAGATAGAGAGGATCAGCTCTCTGAGGGTAGGAAGTCCCCTGAAAAGGTAGAAAGTAAAAGGAAGGCTAACCTTAAACTCCAATTAAAAGAAGAAGTAAAGAAGGAATCACCAACGTCTTCATCTTTTGGAAAGTTCAGCTGGAAGAAGCCAGAAAAAGAGGAGGAAAAAAGTTTGGTGGTGGCCTCAAGTGTCCCTAAGGAAGAGATTGTGGAAAACAGTAAGGACAAAGAAGATCACAAAGCTGAAGCTGGGAAGACAAAACCCATCAAAATCAAGCTGTCTGGGAAAACTGTTGTTGCACATACCAGCCCTTGGATGCCTGTTGTGACAACTTCAACCCTAACTAAGATCCGGCCTAACCTGCCAATCCCATTCACAGTACTTCGTAAGTCAGGTGCAGCCACAGTGAGCAAGCCTGCTCCTCTTAACACTTTTTTGTCTATCAAGTCATCTGGAACCACAGCTAAGCCTCTGCCAGTAGTTAAAGAGTCTTCGTCTGATCTCCTTTTGCCTCCAGACATCATCTCTAAAGCATTTGGAGGGGAAGAGGTGATTCTAAAAGGGTCTCCAGAGGAAAAAACTGTGCTGGCTGAAAAGAATGAGCCTTCCCATATACCTGAGCAAATGCTACCACCTCTTCCACCACCCCCTCCTCCACCCCCTCCACCACCCCCAGTTATACCTCATCCAGCTTCCCCATCTTCTACTCAATCAAATGCTGTCTTGGCTCCAGTAAAATTGAACCCAACTGAATCTCAGACTCTCTGTCCAAGCATCCTGGCTTCTAACATTTTGAACCCAGTGTTGCCCGTAGCTATTGTGGCCTCAGCACAAGTAGCTGCCATTCCTTCCGATGAGACTGCCCCTGGGGTGAGTGAAAGTGACCGGGACCAAGCCCTATTCTCTTTGTTAGTACGTCCTCCTCCACCCCTTTCAAGTGTTTTCAGTGAACAAGCCAAAAAATTGGAGAAACGAAATTCATGCTTAGCCACAGCCAATGCTAAGGACCTATATGACATATTCTACAGCAGTGGTGGAAAAGGGACCCCTGAGACTAAGCTGAGCAGTTGTCTGTTGGCCAATGAGGAAAATAACAACCTGTCCAGAGCAGAAAGTTCAAACAACTCTTCCACTTCTACTTTGAACAGCAATGCATTCCAAGAGGAATTGTCCCAAGATAAGGGTGTAGTCACTGCTACTTCAGTCAGCAACCCTGAAAAGCCCATTGCAAAAACTCTGGTGTCCTTAGGGAAATGGTCAGTTGTAGAACACATAGACCCAAAAGGCAGAGAGAGCAGCCATGGCTTTCTGCAACCTCTGACAAGGTTGTACCAAAGCAGGCATTATGAAACTATTTCCTCAAAGACAGATACTTCGGCAATGTGGACTTCGAGTTCTCTACAAAGTGACACTAATAATGGTGTGTCTCCAGAGGGAAAACTCAAGCTTGACCTGGGAGAGCCAGGACAACTTGGTGTAGAACCAGTCCCTCAGAGGTCAGATATACACTGTCATACCATGGGATCTCAAAAGTTGGTTGGAATCCACCTCATAGAATCTGGTAACCAAGATGAGGAAACTCAAGACCTCTACCAATCTAAGGGTTATAGAAAAGGTGAGGTAGAAACAAACACAGAAGAACTAAAAAAAACTGGAGCAAAACTCTCTGTGGAGATGGTAGAAAAGGAAATGAGTATCAACATTAAACCCCACAGCATAGAGGACTCCAAAGTGAATGATGGAAACAGATACATGTGGAAGGGAGAGGTGGAACAGCTCAAGTTGCTGATGACTGAGAAAGAGGCTGAACAGTCCAAGAAATTGATGACCGAAAATGAAACTCAAAGTAAAGTAATGATCGGATTGAGTACACAGCCTCCCTCTTCCACAAAGTTAAAAAGAGACTCACTTTCATCAGAAGCTAGGTCTTCACTAGAGAATCCGCAAAATAAGCCTCTGAAAAATTCTGCCTCAGTCAGATCAGATGTATACTTAACAGACAGTCCACATGAGCAAGGAGTTTCAGTTGGTGGTGAAGAATGGCTAGAAAACTCGGCTCCAGAGTCAGCTTCCAGGATTTGTAGGTACAGAACCCTCAAATTAAAGAGAGAAAGATCAAAGGGATTTCAGGGTAAAATGATTTATAAAGTGGCCGTTTGGGATGAGAATAAGCAGAAACCAGAGACCTGGGAGAACCCAGAAAAATCAGAATCAGAAGTCCTTGAACTAAGAGATAGGCATCCAGAATTAACAGTGACAATAGAAACCAAAACCTCCGAAGACTTTGAAGCTACAGACTTAAAATTAGAGGAACTTGCTGCCCTGGGGAATCTAGGAGATATGTGTGTTGATTTCTGCAGTACAAAGGTAGAACCAGCACATAGATCCCCAACTGCTCTGTCTCACAAAGTGTGTCAAGAAAATTCTACATCACATACAGGATGTAATCCTTCCACTTCTGCTGGCTTTCAACCAATCCCATCCTTTTCTGGATTTCCATTAGATACTTCAAAACCTGTGGTGCTTAACTTTGGGGCAGAGGATGAGCAAAACTCATCTAATCCCAGAAATAACAGGATCATTCCTAACATTGTAAAAACTAGACTGCCTATAGAAAATGACCTTGGCTTGGGATCCCTAGAGGTAACCCACCAGGCCCTTGACCTGTTAGCAGGAGGAATGATGCATGAGGAAGTAGAAGAAACTTCACAATTACAGCAAGAGTCACGTAGATTGGAATCAGAAACAGTTAACTCTTCAGGCCTTGGGCCATCTCCTTGCCTTCCAGACCTTGTTGACTTTGTTACACGGACATCTGGAATTCAGAAAGACAAGTTGTGTTCTCCTCTCTCAGAGCCAGGTGACCCTCCTGAGTGTAGCTCTTTAGAGATAGGACCACTACAACTGGAAATACCACATGCTTCTATTGCAGAGGTAGCAATGCCTCAAGGAGATGAGGACAATTCAGAATCTCCTGCAAGGGAGCAGGTTGAAGGTAATATGATCCCTCAGCAAATACCTACACAAGAAGCAACAGTTGATACCATACAGGATCTTATGGAATCCAGTGTACACAACTAAAATTACATACTCAGAGTTACTTGTGGATGAATCAAATTGGCTTCTAGAAATTGGTGTCCAGATGATCCAGCACTCTTTGGCTATCTCTTCTGGAACCTACACCAAGAGATGCAGTTAGCATCTTACAGTACATATCCAAGGGAGCTAAAAAAATTACCCTCTTTCCTTTGTATTCCTTTCTCCTTAAAATATCAGACAGATCAGTCATAACTCTTCAATACCTATCTGTAAAAAAAAGTATTTTCTGTTACACTTTTTTGACAATTTATTTCCTCTTTGTCATTAAAATCAAATGTCTGTCTGACTTCACACAGTGTGTTTTGCTTGTATTTTGGTTTTGATTTTGCTATTTCTGGAATTTGGGGGAGGAGGGAGACAGCTGACTTCTCCAATTGCTATGTTGTATTCCCACCCAATTTCCTGGGCAGCTGTTGGATCTCTGGAAGAAACACTACAAAGCTTCTGAAATGAAAAACTTCTGATGAAGATGAAGAAATATCTTTCAGGCTTCTGGTTTGGATGGGCCTGCCTTAACATTGTGTGAAATGCAGTGTGAGTAGCTCTTTTGTTTATTGTTTACTTCTCTGTGGCATGTCAGCCCCCATACTTCCCTTACTATTGCTTATGCTGGAGATGATCCTGCTAACTACAAACCTATTTGGAAATGGCCTCAATAAACATGGATGAAAATGTAGCAGATTCACTTTCGGAAGACAGCAAATCGGTAAGGCTTATTCATGATTCAATGCCAGAATCAGATATACTTTTGGGGTTATTTTTACTTTTGAAATGGTCTTTTGTTCATTGTATTTTGTTCATTGTATTATGAGCCAGTAACACTTTGTGTTAAATTGTTTGGCAACCATTTATTTGTTCTCTGAAGAGGTAGATGATTGGAAACTTGTTTTGGGATTGGACTCATTCTTTGTTCCACAAACTCATATGTATCTCCTCTACCTCTCCCTTTCCCAAATTATTTCCACTATAGTGTGATGTTTTTGGTTGTACATTTTGTTAACAAGATTAAAGAATTCATATGTTGCCTTGGACATGTTTAACTTTTATTTTTAGTGTGTTAATTACTTGGAATAAATGCATTAGTCTCATGTTTCTTTCTGGATTTTTTTGTTGTTGTTTTGAAACCACACACATTTATTTGATTCTGAAAAACTAGAAGAGTGAACTCTGCTGCTGCCCTGTTACCGATCCTCGCTCCACTCCACTCCCAACAATCCTTTCTCCACCTGTCAGCACTTGGTTAGAATGTTAAACTAGACAGTATGTGCCCCAATGCTGCTTGGGTGGGGAGTGAGTATGCAATAGTAACCTAGTGTTGGTATCTTCCTATGTAAAGCTTTTTATATTAAAAAGAAGTATCCTGGGTCTACTCAGGATACTCTGGGAACTGAGCACTCCAAAGACACTTGTCATTTTGCTGAGGCTCCTGTTGGGAGTCAGGAAATTCAGTCCTCAGATTTCTTTAGTTTCTGTCCTGTTTTTAGCTTGACATCCCTACTGCCTGCATTTGTAATCTGGCTCAACAGAGGCTTCAGAGTCTTGCTCCCCAAATCCCTGCCCCACTTCTTAAAATAATGCAGTTTTGCTGATTATTTTCTCCTAAAAATTCATATTTCTGTTTTCTTATCTGCAGAGCTGCAGAATCACTAAGTTGAGTTTTGGAAGGCTATTTCATTTTTCAAGAACCTTGACTAATGTCAATTTAGAAGTCATCCTGGTTTCATCATATTGTGGAAAGGTTCGGAAAAGTAAGATCCTTAAATAAAGAACCCTGGTGGTTCTGTGGGTTAGCCATTGGGCTGTTAACCACAAGGTAGGCAGTTCAAACCCCACAGCCATTCCATGGAAGAAAAATGAGGTGGTCTGCTCCCGTAAAGATTTATAACCTCAGAAACAGGAAGGAACAGTTCTGCTTTGTCCTGTGTTGTTGAGTGCCTTTGAGTCAGTTCTGACTCATAATAACCCTGTAAAGGGTTTCCAAGGAGCAGCTTGTAGGGTCTTCAAATATGAGGGGTCTTCAAAAAGTTGGTAGAAAAATGGGATTAAAAGATAATGAAAAATTTCTACAAACTTTTAAACCCCCCTCGTATACCTCAGCAATTTGCCTTTCTGTGATTTTGAAAAAGTTATTTCATCATGCCACAGATAAGTATTTTTTTATTGTTCTTTCCAGCACTAAATGTGTAGTAGTCCTAAGCAATCTTCCTAGACCTACTTTTCAGACTGAAGCCTGAGTTCAATAGACTTTTCTAGCTTGAAAAATCAGACTGATTCAGAAGGTGTCTATGTTGTTGTTAAGTACCATTGAGTTGGTTCCAACTCATAGTGACCCTGTGTAGGGTTTCTGAGGAGCAGCTGGTGAGCTTGAACTGCCAGCCTTTTTGTTTGCAGTCCAGTGCAGATCCACAGCACCACATAAGAAGTCCTGAAGGTGTCTATGTGGTGGTGGTAGTGATGTGTTATGGAGTCATTTCTGACTCATAGTAATTCTGTATAGGGTTTCTGAGGCTATAAATCTGTACGGAAGCAGAAAGCCTCATCTTTTTCCCACAGAAGGGGTGGAAGGACCTTATATTGTTGTTACATGCCATCCAGTAGTTTCTGACTCATAGTGACCTTGTGTAGGGTTTCTGAGGAGTAGCTGGACCTCACAGTTCAAATGATTTTACAGTCCAGTGCACTAACCCACAGTGCCACACCAGGACTCCGTAGAAGAGCTTAAATATAAATGAGCTTCAGAGATAATACACTTCTCTGAGAATTGCACCCTCCCCAAACTAGAAGACCATTTACATGGATTCAGAGAACATAAGATTAAAATGCCAGTTTGTAGTGATATTTTGGTCCTATTCACTTGGTATGGTCTACTTCCCTTTTTGGAGAGACAGGTGGTTTAGGGAAAGAGTGGGAATGAGTTAACATATCCAGATCACAGTCCTAACTCGCCCACTCTCAGAGAATCTTACTCTCAAGATTAGGAGGGGGCCCCTAAAAAGGAGTAGGAAAGGAAAGGGACAAATCTCAGAAGGACAAGTAGCTGGAACTGGAATACAGTGGGTGACCTTTAGCTTTGTACTCAGCCGCCCTGGCACTGTGGGTTATTGCACTGGACTGCATGGTCGATGGTTCAAGCTCACCAGCCGATTGAAAGCCCTATACAGGGTCGCTATGGGTCGGTATTGACTCAACAGCATTTAACAACAATTCTCATATGGTAGTCCCTCTGACCATATAACTTCAAGACTTTACACCAAAGGCATGTACTAATCAAGACCATATTCTAGAATAATGTTCACTTCTAGAGTTTAAAAAAAACACATTCTTTGTATCTGCCTTATACTAGCAGGAGAACATTTAGGATTCTGTAGCCTATAGGAGGTGCTGATCCTGCATCCTTGCTGATCAATGGAATCTGTCTTTGGCACTCATTCAGAGAAGCCATGTGAAAGAAAGGCAGAACGCTAGCTTAGGAGTTAGTGCCTAGTGGTAAACCATGTTTAAATAGCCTGTGTCTTTTTACTCACACTATCACAGTATAATGGGTAAGTGCTCGGCTTACCAAAAGGTTAGCGATTTGAACTCACCAGCCGCTTCTCAGGAGAAAGATTCTATGAAGTCTGCTTCTGTAAAGATTTGCAGCCTTGGAATCCTTAGAGACACTTCTACTTTGTCCTACAGAGTTGCTCTGATTCCACAGCAATGAGATTTTATGTTTTATTCACAGTACTCAGTATGTTTTCATAGTAAGACACAAAGATACATGCAAGTACTGGGCCCTGATCTTTACATGGGACTTATGATATTATATAACTATGGTTTAAATTTTTGCAAACATCAGAAACAGGACTTGATTCCCTCAACTGAGAATGACAAATTAGCAGTTGTGTTTAAATTTGGATAGACACCTAATTTTAACTTAAGTTGCATAAATATAGTGCTATAGGATAAGCACTGGATGCAAGGATGATTTGAACAGCAAGGTGGCGGTTCAAACCCACCAGCTGCTCCTCAGAAACCCTTTACCTAGTGGCTATAAGTCAAAACAAACTCAGCAGCATTTAAAAATATTTCCTTGGATTTATGAATGGATCCCTCCTAGCTTTATAAGCCATTTTATATTCACAGCTGGCTTTCAGGACACATGATACTCAATAACCCTTTCAGCTAATCTTGCTGAGTAATAACAGCAAAGTATTCCTATGCAATTCCCTTTCAAAAAATCAAAAGTTTAGCTGATGTTTGGCTAACAAATCATGTTCATTTATTGCCAGGTTCAGGGACTTAGGGAGTGGGCAGTGAGGGTACAGGCATCCCAACAAGGATATTATGTATATTACTGAAGTGAGGAAGGTTCAGAGAGGTTTTTGTTGTCTACTTGGAGGGTTTACCTACCAAGCCACCTAGCATGAGAAACTAAATAGTCTTTATTAATAGTTTGTGTGAATACAAATGAAAATAGTTTGCAATTGTGGGCATAATTTTGTGATAATACTTACATAACTTTTAACTAAAAAATGGGTATAGTAACAATGTTCATTGATAAGCCAAGTGATTGGATTATAATGAAAATCTACATTTAAAAAAAAAATCACCATTTTGATTCATCCTCCACCCGTATATATGCTTTCAGAGCACCATGTACTTTCTAATGTTTTTTTTATGTTGTAGCACTTAACATGGTTATAATTTTATGTGTGTTTCTCTGATTAGTACAGGTATATGCCTTTCTCCTTTACCCCCATCCCAACTAGATTATAAACTTTCCAAAGCAGAAGTCTTTCTTTGCTTATTACTGTATTACTGTTTTTTTCATCATTGTTTTTATAGTGTAAAAATTACCTGACACTTAGAGGATGTGCAATAAAAATTGAATGAAAGAATCAATGCAGTAATAGTGGCTGTTTTTTTAACAGGGCTTTGAGCTCTAATTTTTTCCATTCTGGTTATTGTTCAGATTCAGCAAAATTCTGGTTCATTTTGTC